GTATCTGTATGTCAAAACTGAATTTCTGAAATAAAATCCTGCTGCCTAAGGGGATTTTCTCCCGGACAATTAAACGGAAATGGAATTGAAGGGAAACCGAAATGAAAACGAAACGAGAAAAATACTAACAGCCCTGACTGCTCAGTGGGTGGCTACGGCTGTAATAGTTTCACTGACCTGTCACCGAAAAACGAACCTCAAAACTTGTCCTAACCCCGTGATCCCTGCGTTGGAGCGGCAATATTGAAATTGCTCCTACACCTCCCAAAAACACTCGGTAACGTACCTAAATTACCCTAAATAATCGCGCAGCATGATAAATATTCGGCTCAGTACACGAATGTCATAATTTTCGTAAGATCAATTAACCTAAGGCGTTTCTCCGCATAGTCTAAAAGAAAGCCAATCGGTATTAGTCGATGATAAGTCGAAACCAGAACAAAGTTGACAGTACGGATTTCTCCTCAGTTCTTATGGCAAAATGCACGTAATGAATTCCTCTTAATTCTAACCGATACCGATAGGCACGAGACCCTTGTAAAAGAAAGGAAGAAGATAAACAGAATAATACAAATACTTGCGATTGGGCCATTCTATCTGCGTACCCACGACTTATTATGTTGACTTTGCTGTCCTTCGGGGAGCCATAACGAATTTCCTCAACATTCCTTACAGTTTTTAATTGTCAAAAGAGCAAATAGAACTTCTCAGGCTATCGAACAATTCGTTTTTTTTTTGTGTAGCGTGAATCGGTCGATATGATAAACTAAAAAATGTAAACAGATCCGTCGCTGATAATGGTCTGTCTTCATGTACGATTAACACTGACAATGACTTCTCTACACTGAGGAAAAAAGTGGCATTGAACGTGCACCTTTTTTTTTTATTGAAATTTGAAATGAAGCAATTTTTGTTAGCACTCAATCTGATTCGTGAATCAATCATTTGACAGCATTGCAAATTCGTGGCACTAAATGTTCATTCTTTTTTCAAAAATTCTAATTGGCATCTATTGAACATTTCAATTATAGTCGCAGATTTGAATGACCCTGACGTGATATGTCCATGAAAGAATACCAAAAGTTTATTCAAGTATGTGCATACCTTCATTAAGACGGAATGCTTTCGGTGGCGTAAGGAAAAAATTTCAATTGCCAATCAATCGTGTACATACTTGTTCGTCGTTTCGTTTTCTCAGTCCTATTCTAAAAGCAACACGCTTGACACAATCGATTATCTCGAAAATCTCGAAATCATGAAGCCACGATTCCTTATTGGTCCACCTAAAGTGGCGCGAGATTACAAAGTCGTAACGCTCTTACAGAAATCAGTTACAATAATCTCTCTTACAGGAAGGTAATTCACGTATTCCGTACGATACGTATTCTGTACTAGGTATATGGAGATTGATTATAATACAATTCAAAATATTGAATTGCCTGGCCTGTGGTAACTTTCTTCTTAATTCACTCAACAGTCTCCTGTTGTTTATTAAATGTATAATCCCCGGAACAAGAATTACCAAAGTTTGTGTTGTTGGATCAAACTCGTCGGTGTTCACAAATGTACTGAAATACCATATCCCCTTGTCCATTGAGTAGACGAGTGAGAGGAAACAAAGTTGGGAGGAACCCACCAACTACAGCAACGTCCAATGGTACTTGAGAGACCATAGTGCAATTTCATGTCAGACCGCCGCATTCATAAATTGGTTAGAACTCAGTGGAGACGTTACCTCCGTACGATTTGATGCTATCTCATCATGTTGGATATCCTTGAGGATTGTGGTGTACCCAGACTCTCGGATATTTGAAACCTGCAGGGCGAAAAATCAAGTAGTAATCAAATCAAAATCAAATAATTTTTATTGAAATATATAATGCTTTAAACAACACTATGTTGATTTGCTAAAGCTAAAGCTAAAGCTCCACATTTCCAGAATCGATCTCCGGATTACGAATTCGATGATTCATTTTGGTTTAAATTCTGGTAATAGTATAATAGAGCACTTTATGTAATTTTCAATTTTTCTGAGTTATTATTCATATTAATACAGATGAAAAACAAAGGAAAGGATCAAAATGGAATTGCACTCAATTAGGTATATACCTGGAAGGAGTAGACTAGTAGTCCATACCAGTCGCGTTCTCATCGCATTCTAAGTGCTGGTGAGGCTTGAAACTTGTTTTAAAAAGTGGTTTACCACGCGTTAATTTTTGCTAAACACCCCAAAATATTGTTTAATTAATTATAAATTAACTGCTCGAAGGAAAAGTATGAGCATCCACATTCGTGGCCAAAGATCCTTTATTTCTTCGTTATAAATGAACTCCATACAGTCGAATGATTTTTAATCTCTCTGGAGGCCTTATCGCTG